AACAGTACTGGTATTTCGCACGGCAAAAGTGAGGGGGGGGGGGGGCAAAACTCAATCTCGCCTAGGGCAACCAAAGGGCTAGAACCGGCCCTGATGAGATTGGCTGATGTATAGTGAGACATCTGTCAGTTGGGTAGATGGGTGTTTCCGCTGGTGGGTGTTAACGTACAGCACACACAGAGAGAGATGGATAGTGGGGATGACTCCAGCAGCAAAACAGCGTTTTCCAGATGGAAATACTGGTGTTACGTCGAGCTGCGTTTCCCCATCACATACGGTTTCCCCTGCATCTCCCCACAGCGCAGGCGGCACGATTCACAGCGCAAGCGACAGGAAACGCGCATACTCGCTAAAGGCGCGCAACTGCCGCCCTGTGCTCGCACCACAGGAGAACTATGGAGAGCGTGAACGATCAAATGATAGCCTATATGGCGAGAGGGAGAAAGATGGATGGATGGATGGATACTCTGCCTTTTCAACCTACTGGATTTTTTATTTTAAACATTATTTGATGGCCTTTGTGGCAGGGATGGAGATCCATATTTTATGTCACACACAGAGTATACATCTAGATAGATAGATGAATAGATAGATGTTGCAGTATCTATAACAACCCAAACTCACAGGATTTCAGAATTAGACATCCCCAGTTATTAATTTCATATACTCACCACATCTGAATGCCCTGTTAAAAAACTTCCCCCCTGATGTCATTTACGTTGAGTTGCAATAAATGCAAAACTCTCTGCAGGTTCTTGTCTTTGTCGTTCACTCTTTTTAGCTGGCTTTTGAAACACATGGCGAGACGGTGGGGGCCAGCTGATGAGGGTTACGAGGGGGGGAAACGCAAAAGTAATGCAATAGTTACTTTTACTAGTAACTAGTTACTTTTATTGTGGAGTAACTCAGTTAGTAACTCAGTTACTTTTTGTGAGAAGTAACTAGTAACTATAACTAATTACTTTTTCAAAATAACATGCCCAACACTGTTCATATCACATATAATTTAGCTATACATTGTGAAACAGTAGCTTCAGTTGTTTTAAGAAAACCAGTCTTGTTGCAAATTGTAACTTGATGTAGGCCTCTATGGCTTTATTTACAGAACTGACCTGACTAATAAATAGCTCCTTGTTGGTGCAGTTTTGGGCTACAATCATGGAAACAAATCCAGCTGGATTCCCTTAGGAAACTAAAGCAGCTGAAGAGTCTGTTATCTTTGGCCAGAAGATAATTTTCTGCATAGTAGTTTAGTAAATACATTTTTAAATGTTTTTCCACTGACAATTCCAGCCCTGCTCAGCTCTACTCCACCAAGTCTCTCCCTATTCAAAATGGAACTGGTTAGCTTCTGTGGACTTATTGACAGCTGGAGCTGTGGCTTTAAGCCCCACCTCCTGTCCTTAATGTAAAGTGCCATGCTACAATTAGCCTCACATCCATGTTCACTAGACGAGCAGATATATCCCGGAATGATTCGCGAGGACAGCTCCCTCGCAAAGCATCATGGATTTTGTTGTCACAGTGGCGCACTGTCGCTAGCCGACAGCGGCAACGAATAGCAAAAGATGGCTCTTAGATCGTGCATGGAGGCGGAGTCACGCGACTAAAGGGAAGCCAAAAGTAGTGATCATCTGTCCGAACGGTCGGTTAACTGAGTTCACTATAAAGTCCACTGTATAATCCCCGTTCCTATATAAGGAATGAGAGATAGAACATCCGCCCTAACCCTTAAATCCAAGTTTAACACAATTGCAACTTCAAGAACACAATGTTACTCTAGCATACACAGACGACCAAAATGAACAACCGTTTTTTTACACAAAACTAGAATTACATGCTGATTTTCTCCCCGGTGTAAATATTACCCAGCAGCCCTTGTGGCCACTCATGCCTCATAGGACATTACAATACAAATATATTTTTTTATTACTGTATATCCCAAAATGCTATGAATATTTTACCATGAGGTTCTAATGGTTCAACAGTTTTTTTTGGGAGGGGCTTTTTGGGAGATTTTTTATTTTAACTTTTTGTGTTTGTGTCCCCTTTGCATTTGAGGTTTATGCTTTAAAATATTTTTGTTGCTTTCCTCTGGACAGGTATCACAAATTCAAACACAAGATTGACAGTCATTGGGCTGAATGTTTTTTTTTTTATATATATATATTGTTTTCTTGATGGGCATGTTGTTGCATTTATTTATTCACCTGTCTTGTAGGTACCCCAGCATGAGTCTAAAGATAAGAAAATGGGTCTTTTTAAATCTGGAAGTATCGCCATGGATGTAAACCTTGAGAAGTCAGGCTTTCACCAAGGTGAGAGGCATTTAAATGAGCAATGAGTTGTTCTTGAATATAATTTTAGCAGCTTTTCTGATAATTTTTCTGTGCATCACAGGAGAAGGGTTAAAGGTTTCGGCATTGATTAAGAATGATTCATCTCGTGAGGTCAAGCCCAAGTATTGCATATACAAAAAGCACAGCTTTTTTGCTCGTGGGAAAAGAAGGGTCCACACTAAAGATCTCATTAAGGAGGTTGGAGCTACAATCCCCCCATCGGCCTCAGAAAAAGTCACACAGGTTATTCCCATACCTCAAGATATGGAGCCCTCCATCCTCAATTGTAACAACATCAAAGTAGAGCACAGACTCAGGGTAAGCAGCGAGATGTAAAAATATTTGGAAAAATTAAGTTATGATATTAATGACTTAAAGTGGTTTGGAATAACACAAAAAGAACTAGGTGTAACAAATAAAACGTGATTATTTGAACTTGCCTGTTTAGATGGAGTAAAATATTGTTTTTTTTTTTTTAATGAGGCTGGATCCAAAAGCTATGCTGCTTCTCGCTGAAGGCTCCCCCCTTTACCACGCAATGCTTTTGTAGCACTTACTTACCAAAAGCAAAAACTATCCATTTACTAGGTTCTAGAGGAGTAAAATAAATGAAGGGAATCCGGAATTTGAGCAGTTGGCAGGTTTATTACAATTTTACAATGCCGCAATAAAACAGTTGACAACAGACAAAGAGCTCTCTGAAAATAAAATACAATTCAGGAACGGTTATAGTTTGTATTTTATTTAGTCTCTGTGTAATATCTGGTAACAGAAAAGATCTTTCCACTGTGTGGTTATCGGTTTGGAATAAAGTGAGCTGGTTGTTGCTTATCTGAGGTTGAGCAGTGTGTGATGTTAAGGTCCATTGATTCTTTCCATAAACAAGCTGCTGGCCGCTCTGATATGGGATTCTTCAGAAGTCCTCACTGGGTCTGGCTCACCATCAAACTTTAATGATCAACTCTAAGATCAGATCTGGACCAATAAAAAAAACAGTCTGCACATGTAGTACAGAACAATTAGATATAACTCAATGGTTTTTCTATTTAAAATGAGATCTCATCACATCTTCAAAATGTAGTTGACTTGTTTTAATATTGAGACTATAAAGTTTAACTGGATTACTTAAAGCATAACAAACCCCAATGTTCATTTTAATTATATTCTGTTTACAATTAAACAAAGTCAATGCCCATTTAAACTCAGTAATGTTCAACTGGAGCATAGTTATAAAATTCAACAGAAATTAAATGACTCAGTCTTTAAAACTCAAACTAAATTTACATAAATAAAAGTGCATTATAGTATTTTTCCTTTTACAGTTATTCTATGTTAATTTATCAATTAACAACAAAAAACATAAGAGTACTCAATTTTATAAATCTAGCTCAGTACTCCGACCGGTTTTAGTTTCCAACACATAGTGGTACCTGCTTTAGCTTGCATGTGTAGATTTAGTATTTTGCTATCTCAATTAACTCACTGGAGTTTCAAGGACAACAAGTGTATTCCACTCGGTTGGGTTTAATGGAAACAATTCTAAAGTACTGAAAGATTGACAATATGAACTTAAAACTCATAAAGGGTATTTTTTTAATCACTTTTCTCAGCTCAATCAGTGTCTTACAGCTCTGGTCAACAATTTGCATGTCTGCTCAGACGCACGTTGTGCAAGCATATGATGCATTCAGGGGAACTGGGAAAAGGGGGTGCGTTCAAGGGGAATTCGGAAAACACTTTCTTGCAAAACATTAATAAGTATTTATTTATATGGATTACACTTTTCTGTAGTTAATCCTGTTGTCCATGGTGTTTATTTATGTTCGCATGACGGTGTATAAAACGGCAAGTGTACAGTTTAAATGCAGTGTCTCTATTCAGATAGAGCAGATGAATGCAAATGCTACTTATAATATACACTTTGTGTTACAATAAATATGAGGAACCTTATAAAATAACTTATTTGAAGGCTATTTATCTGCATACAAAGAGCTAAAGAACGAGATTGAATAGTAATGTATTAAAGTAAAGGATTTACATCCCAGAGGAATGCTGCCTTTATCGCTTCGTAGTTGTTTTATTTCTAGAAAATTCCTGCCTGTTTAGAAAGAACATTGTCATATTTTTTTTAGCAGTAATTAAATATATAACATACACATTACACTTCATTATAATACATTCTATACATTTTCTGCCTCCTCCCAGGTCTACCTTGATGTTAAGTATGCTTCAGATCCAGAGGTCAAATTTAACATCTTCATCCTTCAAGCACCTAGGGTCTCTGCCATGGCAACAGCACCACCAGCTGCTTCTGACTTTGGAAATGGACTGTTTGAAAACTATGGGAATCCAAACCCTCCTGTGTGGGACTTTGGACCTCCACAACCGCCGGCCGTGTTTCTGCCTGCTGACCCACCACCCAGCTATGGAACATACGGGATGTACCCTCCTCTGAATGATTTTGCTAATAAATACTAAACACCCTTACAGTTGCCTTCAGGGGGGAGATCTAGCCAAAAGCATGTAAAACCCTTTTGTAGATGTAATATTCTTTACTGATTCTTTTGTTCTTTCACTTTAGCTCAATGCAGAAAATGTATAAGAATTGGTAATTGTACAGAGCTACAGTTTACCAGCGTTAATTTCAAGGTTTTTGCGTGTAAAATATAATCAAAAGATAGGATCCTAAAATCACTTAATGTTATTTATTAGTGTTGAATCTATAAATAAGTTTGTTCTTTCCTGAACCTATTCTGTTTTACCCCCATCTATATATGTCCTGTCAAAATAGGTTTTTCTAAAAACTCTTGTTTTCCATAGGTATGTGAGGCATTTGTAAAGTCTCCACTAATACGCTCTGCCTGAAGAGAAGAAATAACTTGTGTGGCTTAAATAATGCAGACCTCATCCTTTTTCTGTTATTAGTATTAAAATTTTAGACAGTAGAAACTATAGATAAAATAGTGTGTGACTTTTATTTTGACTAAAACTTTATTCTTGTTTATTGAGCTTGGTATATAAATATGAAAGATTATACATATTACTCATAAAATAATGCTATTAAAAAAGACAAGGTGGCTTTACTATAACTTACTCTTACTCTTCGTCTACTGCTTCATCCATGACCAGGTCATGGAGGCAGCAGTCTCAGCAGGGACTCTCAGACTTCCCTCTCTGCAGACACCTCCACTAGCTCTGGTGAGGGGACATCAAGGTACTACCAAAGTACTCCCTATGACAGACCAGTGCAGTGTCCGCATTATGGCAGCAACTGCACCAATGGATCTATGGATCTCCCCATTCTCCCCTCATTCAAGAATGGGACCCCAAGATTTTTAAATGTCTCGCTTGAGGAAGGAACTCTCCTCCAACCTGAAGTGAACAAGCCACCTTTTTCATTAGGGAACCATGGCCTCGCACTTGGAGAAGCTGATTCTCATCCCGGCCACTTCATACTCTGCTGCGAACTGCCCCAGTGCAAGGTGTAGGTCTTGGCAGAAGGGAGCCAGCAGAAACATGTCATCTGCAAAAAGCAGGGACATGAACTGCTGGTTCCCAAACCAGTCTTTTGACTCTGCCTAGAAATCATGACCATAAAGGTTATGACAGGGCAGCACTGGCGGAGTCCAAAATGCACTTGGAATAGGTCCAACTTATTGCCGGCAATGCGGACCAGGCTAATGCCCCGCTTCTTTCTTAGTTGTAGTAAGGTTGCGGGCAACACTATCCTCAATTAACTGCAGCTGTCTGATCGACTTTGTAGGTGGACCTGTAAAGACTTAATTGCAGTTATCAATTTGGCTAAAGATAAATGTGGATTAGTTTTTTTAGATCCTTCAGAGGCATCAGTCTTTTAATCCTGTATATTTCTTGAAGTGATAAAAGACTATGTTTGTTATTGTCTTAAGTTTAATCATGTAAAGCACTTTGCATTGTCTTTGTACTGAATTGTGCTATACAAATAAATTTGTCTTGCCTTTCCTTGCCTTAAGTGCCTCTGTCAGGTCCGGCATGAGT